CAATTTAACTGTAAAAACCCTTTGCCTACCTCAAGGGCACAAATAATTTCTCTCCGTTTCCTAGAAGTTTTACATTTTTGGTTTTTATGTTCAGGTCTGTGATCCATTTCAAAATTACTTTTGTGCGTGATGCGAGGTAGGGGTGGAGGTTTGTATTTTTATGTATGTTTACCAATATTCATTTTAAAGACTTTCCTTCTCCCTAAGATTCACCGTGCCCATTTTTTAAAAAATCAACTGGCCATACATACCTGGATCTTTTTCTAGGTTCTCTGTTCTGTTCCATTGATCTAGATATTTGCTCTTGCACCAGTAGCATACTACTGCTTCACAGTAGGTCCTAAAATTCAGTGATATCAATCCTCCGAGTTTGTTCTTTTTCAAAATTGCCTTGGCTACTCGTGGTCCTTGAATTTTCGTGTAAATTTTGGAACTGCCTTATCAAGTGCCACAAAAAGACCAGTGTGATTATAATTGAGATTTGCACTGAATCCATAGATTATTGAGGGCAAAATTGATGTCTAACCATATCAAATGTCTGCATCCATGAACAGGATATATCTCTTTATTTCTTCATACCATCTTTAGTTTCTCTCTTATTTTTCTCTTTAATTTCAGTGTTTTATAGTTTTTAGAGTACAGGTCTGGTACATATTGTGTGACATTTATCCCGAGGCGTTCATGCATTTTATGCTATTGTAAACTGTATTGTTTGTTAAGGCTTTTTTTTTTTTCTTTTCAAAACAAACAACTTTTTATTGACCTAGAATTCTTTTTGGCAGTCTTTACCACATATTTATTCTGTTTATATTAATGATTTCCTAAAACTCATTATGCATATGTAGTAGGTATCTATTGTTATATTTTAAAAGTAACCTAAAAATTAGTGCCTTAAGACAACAAAATTTATTAACAATTTCTGAGCATCAGGAATCCATGAACTGAGTGGTTCAGGCTCAAGGCTTCTCAAAAGGTTACAGTCAAGTGAATGGCTAGACCTGTAACATCTCTAAAGCCTTTACTTAGATGGCATGTACTTTTGGTGTGATTTTTTTGTTTTTTAAACTTAAGGATAATTGCTTTACAATATTGTGTGGGTTTCTGCCATACATCAACCTGAATCAGCCATAGCTATGCGCATGTCCCCAACCCTCTCGAACACCCCTCCCACCTCCCACCCCTCTGAGTTGTTACAGAGCCCCAGTTTGAGCTCTGTGAATTATACAGTGAATTCCCACTGGCTATCTACTTCATGGATGATGGTGTATGTGTTTCCACGCTACTCTCGCCAATTGACATACAGCTGACTTACAATGTGTTAGTGTCGGGTGTAGAGCAAAGTGATTTAGTTTATGTATCTATATATTCATATATATGCATATATGTACATTCTTTACATGGACATATACATTTATACATATATATATACATCTATATATACATAAAAAGAATATATATATATATTCATATATATACATACATATGTTCACATATTCATATATATATGTATATATATTCTTTTTTAGACACTTAGAATATCAGAAGACATGTATACCCTTTACTCACCTTTTCTAATGATAACGCCTAAGTCATGGACCAATCAAGAAAACCAAGACGTTAACATTGGTAAAATACTATCAAACTACAAATTTTATTTGGATTTTACCACTTTTCCCACAGACGGCCTTCACTCCCAGAGTCCAGTTCGGGACCCCACACTGCCCCCACAGTCTGCGCCGTTGTCCAGCATGTCCATCATTCAAGACTTGGCACTCTTGAAGAGCAGTGGTCAGGTGTTTTCTGGAATGTCCCTTGATTTGTGTTGTGTCCTGCCTTCTCATAGTGATTTGGGGTTCTGCATCATTAAGACAAATACCGCAGGAGTACCCTGTGCCATATCAGGGAGTCCTCGATGTTACCGTGTCTTATTTCTTGTGATGGGAACGTTCATCATTTTGTAAAGATGCTGTCTGTCAGGTCCGTCCACTGTGTGGCCACTGTTTTCCTTTTTGTAATGGGGCAGGGAGATACTTTGAGGCAATGCAAAGGTTCTGTTTCTTCTTAAACTTTTTCCCACTAATTTTAGCATCCACTTGTGTATTTTGCCTCCATGATATCTATGAAATTCTAATGGTGATTTTCTATTTCCCCTTATTCCTTTTTACAGGAATTAATTGGGCTTCTTCTATAAATAGGTATCATTCCTTTTCATTTCACTTCAATGATATTCCTTTTCATATCATTTCATTTATTTATCTATTGCATTATTAACTTATATTTGTTCAGACTAAAATATATTCAGTTTATTATTTGGGTTATAATCCAATACTTCTTGTTGTTCAGTCACTCAGTCATACCCAGCTCTTTGAGAACCCATGGACTGCAGCACACCAGGCTTCCCTGTTCATCCCCATCTCCCAGAGTTTGCTCAAACTCATGTCTGTTGAGTTGGTGATGCCATCCAACCATCTCATCCTCTGTCATCCCCTTCTCCTGCCCTCAATCTTTCCCAGCATCAGGGTCTTTTCCAATGAGTTGGCTCTTTTCATTAGGTGGCCAAAGTACTAAAGCTTCAGCTTCAGTATCAATCCTTCCAGTGAATACTCAGGGTTGATTTCCTTTATGGCTGACTGGTTTGATCTCCTCACAGTTCAAGGGACTCTCAAGAGTCTTCTCCAGCACCACAATTCAAAAGCATCAATTCTTTCGCACTCAGCCTTCTTTATGCTCCAAATCTCACATCCATACATGACTACTGGAAAAATCACAGCTTTGACTATGGAGCTTTATCAGTAAAGTAATATGTCTGCTTTTTAAAATGCTGTCTAGGTTGGTCATAACTTTTCTTACAAGGAGTAAGCGTCTTTTAATTTCATGGCTGCAGTCACCATCTGCAGTGATTTTGGAGCCCAAGAAAATAAAGTTTGTCACTCTTTCCATTGTTTCCCTATCTTTGCTATTTCCCCTATTTGCTATTAAGTGATGGGACCAGATGCCATGATCTTTGTTTCTGAATCCTGAGTTTAAAGCCAGCTTTTTCACTCTCCTCTTTCACTTTCATCAAGAGGCTCTTTAGTTTCTGTTCACTTTCTGCCATAAGGGTGGTGTCATCTGCATATCTGAGATTATTGATATTTCTCCTGGCAATCTTGATTCCAGCTTATGCTTCATCCAGCCTGGCATTTCGCATGATGTACTCTACATGTAAGTTAAATAAGCAGGGTGACAATATACAGCCTTGACGTACTCCTTTCCCGATTTGGAACCAATCCATTGTTTCATGTCCGGTTCTAACTGTTGCTTCTTGACCTGCATACAGGTTTCTCAGGAAACAGGTTGGGTGGTCTGATATTCCCATCTCTTTAAGAATTTTCCACAGTTTGTTGTGATCCATGCAGTCTCTTGCTTTTTCCATGAATCAATGGATGTTGGCAATTTGATCTCTGGTTCCTCTGCTTTTTCTAAATCCAGTTTGTACATCTAGAAGTTCTCAGTTCACATACTGTTGAAGCTTAGCTTGAAGGATTTTGAGTATTACCTTGCTAGCATGTGAAATGAGTGCAATTGTGTGGTTGTTTGAGCATTCTTTGGCATTGCCCTTCTTTGGGATTGGAATGAAAACTGACCGTTCCAGTCCTGTGGTCACTGCTGAGTCTTCCAAATTTTCTGGCATACTGAGTGCAGCACTTTCATAGAATCATCTTTTAAGATTTGAAATAGCTTAGTTGGAATTCCATTACTTCCACTAGCTTTGCTTGTAGTGATGCTTCCTAAGGCCCACTTGACTTCACATTCCAGGATGCCCAGTTCTAGGTGAGTGACCACACCATCGAGGTTATCCGGGTCATTAAGATCTTTTTTGTATAATTCTTCTGTGTATTCTTTATATCTTCTGCTTCTGTTAGGTCCATACCATTTCGGTCCTTTATTGTGCCCATCTTTATATGAAATATTGCCTTGGTATCTCTAATTTTCTTGAAGAGATTGCTAGTCTTTCCCATTCTATTGTTTTCCTCTATAATCCAATACTATCATGGTTTATTCTGTTTCTAATATTGTTACAGCTTTGGCCATTGGGAGCTCTTTCAGTTTGGCTCCTATGCCTTTTCAATATTCCCTCATTCTTTTGCTTTTCGTTTATATAATTCCTTTATAATACAACATTCTAAATTTTCACTTACCAATTTTTTATAGTATGTGGACATATTTATTTTTGTATATTTAAAATAGGTTTCTATAGGCAGTATATGGGGTCTTCTCTAGTGACTCAGATGGTGAAGAATCCACCTGCAATGCAGGAGACCTGAGTTCAATCCCTGGGTCGAGAAGATTCCCTGGAGAAGGAAATGGCTACTGACTCCAGTATTCTTGCCTGGACAATTCCATGGACAGAGGAGCCTGGCAGGCTACAGTCCATGGGGTTGCAAAGAGACAGACATGACTGAGCAACTAAGACGTCCACTTTCAAGCAATATATAGTTGAGCCTTGCTGTTTATCCAGTGTCACAGTCTCTGCCCTTTACTGAAGTATTCATAAATGCAACATTTAATATAATTATCAGAATCACTGGGTGTAGGTCTACCACCTTTCCACCTTTTTTGTTGCTGGTCTTCATTGCTAGGCAGATTTTCTCCAGTTGTGGCAAGTGGGAGTACTCTCCAGACGCAGTAGGCAAGCTGCTCGTTGTGGCGGCTTCTCCTGGTGCAGAGGATGACCTCCAGGGCACACGGGCTTCAGAAGCTGGTGCGCAGGCTTGGCTGCCCCAAGCCATATGGGATCTTCCCAGACCAAGGGTCAGACTCGTATTCTCTGCACTGGCAGGAGGACTCTTTAACAACTGAGCCACCAGAAGCCCTATCCACTTGCTTTTTATTTGGCCCATCTGTCTTTTGTTCTCTTTTGCCTTTCTTCTTTGCAATTAATTATGTTTTTTTATTTCCATTTTTCTCCACAGATTGGTTCTCTCTAATCGATTATATCTCTCTGTTCTAATTTTCAGAAGTAGCTCCAGAATTTAAATGTACATATCACAGTCTACTGTCAAATGTTGTACTTCACATGTAATGTAAGTATCCTGCAACAATATTCTTTCATTTAATTCCCCTATCCTATGTACTATTGTGGTCAGAGATTTTTACCTTTCAATATATAATAAGCCCCAAAGTATATTGTTGATATTTTGTTTTAAATGGTCAGTTGTTTTTTAAGGAAATTAAAAGTTGAAGAAAATTTTTCTTTTAGTAAGTGTTTTTAAGTGCAGTTCGCAGAATAATGTTAAATATTTCATGTAAAAATTAATATTCCATACGTGTTTGTATATTTTGATGTTTAATATACAAAATGTATAGGAGGTTGATTATCAAACATTACTTCTTTCGGGGAATAGATCGAAGATTTTATTATTATTGAGTTTCTATTTGAATCTGAATGAAATGAGTATACATGACATCTATAATTTAAATATATTAATTCAAGTTTTTAAATAGCACTTATGAACTGCCAGAATGCCACAAATATCACTGTGAATAATCAGTCTTAAAATGAGCTTTTGTTTGTTTTTAATTTTTTTTTACATTTCTCTAGATATTTGCCACTTCTAATACTCTTGCCTCTTTTTCTGTAGATCCAGATTTCTATCTAATATTATCTTCTTTCTGCTTCCTTTAATATTAACTTCCTTTAATATTTCCTGTAGTGTCAGTCTGCTGGGGTCTTAAAAACTCTTTATTTTGCCTTTCATTTTGGAAAGATATTTTTGCAGAAAATAAAATTCTAGATGAACAATTTCTTTCTCTATTTTAAAGATATTAGCCCCACTGACTTCCAGCTTGCACTGTTTCCAGAAAGAACACTACTGTCATCTGCATATTAATCCTCTACAGGTCTCATTCTTACCTGGCTGCATTTAGTATTTTCTGTTTAGCTCTGAATTCAGAAAATTAATTATGATGGAGCTCAGAGTGCTTTTCTTTTTATTTATGCTACTTCATATTCATCGAACTCAGACTTGTATATTTATAGTTTTCATCAAATTGGGATGTGGCATTTCAGCTAGGCTTCCCAGAAGGAACACTTCTGTCTTTGAGAATAAAGGCCAACTGATTATTATTAATGACCCTAATAACCACTCTTCTTAGGATGCTGCCCAGGAGTCCGAACAAGCAGGTCCCAGTTTGGTGCTTACGATGCTGTGATGTGGGTTGAATTCTGGTGAGAATCTGAGGTTCTCTCAGTTCCTTGGAGACTCGACACATCACCACCACTGCCTTTGGGCTTGGCCGTGGTAATGGATAGGGCATCCCAGGCGGCTCAGTGGTAAAGAACCTGCCTGCCAATGCAGGAGACACAGGAGAGGCGGGTTCCATCCCTGGGTCAGGAAGATCCCCTGGAGGAGATAATGGCCACCCACTCCCGTATTCTCGCATGGAGAATCCCATGGACAGAGGAGCCTGGCAGGCTTCTCTCTGCAGGGTACCACAGAGTCAGACTCGACTGCGCACACATACACAACTAGTGATGGATACACCGCATGCTACCCAGGATGCAGGAAGGGCACCCATCCTTTAGGAGAGGGAAGCAGTCTGTTTGAGCTTGGCGACTGGGCCTCCTGTGCAGCCCCAACTGCCTCGCAGGTCAGAGGGTAAGGGAGGAGGGTGGGTCTGCACCGTCTCTGGGGTCTTCGTCCCCGTAGGATCCACATATCCCCAAGAGGCTGGCATGGCAGAGCACCGACCTCTCCCGGTCACCTGTCCTTCCCCATCCTCAACACCACATTTGCAGCTATTCCGTTACCTCTCCCGGGCATTGGCCCAACATCGAACTCAGCCCTTCCTTCCTCCTTTCGGTGACAAACCACTCGTGGCGGGCTCCTGCTGGAGGACGGGGGCTGCTACACGGCAGCCTTGAGAACTCCAAGGGTCAGGCCCTCCGCAGCCTTCCACTTTGCCCTTCCCACCAGGCGCCCTGGCCCACAGCCCACTCCCCCTCGGCTGTTCTTCTCCCACCCTGGCTGTCACCCGCCCTCAGGAATTTTCCTCCCCCGAGAACCAGGTCTGGACCTAGCGTGAGGCCAATGGGATACTCCCTTCATGCAGAATTCAAGGCAACGCCAAAAAGCTCAGCAACGAAGATTAGTCACATTTAAGGCAATCATTTTTAAGTCAAAAGTAATGCAGATACAGCTCAATCACAACAAAGTAAACAGCCCAATTCAAAAATGGACAAAGGACTTGAATAGACATTTCTCCAGAGAAGTTACAGAAATTGCCAGGAAGCACATGAAGAGATGTTCAGCATCATTAGCCACTGGGGAGACGCAAATCAAAACCACCGTGAGACACCACCTCACACCCACTGGGCTGGCTAAATTTTTTTTTTTAATTTTAATGAAAAGAACAAGTGTTGGAAAGGGTGTAGAGAAACTGAAATCCTTATGCATTGCTGGTGGGAATGAGAAACAGCGCAAGTGCATCTACCAGGGAAAATAGGTCTGCACGTCCTCAAAGAGCTAAACGTAAAATTACCATATAATTCAGGAATTCTGCTTCTGAAAGAATTGAAGCCAGGGATTCAAGAAAATCTTTGCACAACAATGTTCATAGCAGCACTATTCACAATAGCCGAAGGGTGGAAATAAACCCAGAAGTTCATCAACCTACGAATGGATAAACAAGATGTGGTCTATCCATACAACGACATGTTATTCAGTCTTAAAAAGGAAGACAATTCTGGTACTCTTACAACACAGATGAACCCTGAGGACAAAACGCTGAGTGAAATGTCAATAACAAAAGAACAAATAGTTCTGATTTTATTTCCAGGAGTTCCCTAGAGTAGTCAAGTCCGTAGAGACAGACAGTAGAAGGGTAGCTTCCAATAAGCTGGGCAAGGGAGAAAGGGGAGTTTGTGTTTAATGGAGACAGATCTTCAGCTGGGGAAGATAAGAGATTTCTGGGGACAGATGGTGGTGATGGTTACACAACGTGAGTGTATTTAACGGGCTTCCCAAGTGGCTCAAGGATAAAGAATCCGCCTGCCAATGCAGGAGACAGGAAGTGCAGGTTCGATCCCCGAGTCAGGAAGATTCCCTAGAGCAGGAAGTGACTACCCACTCCAGTATTCTTGCCTGGAAAATTCCACGGACAGAGGAGCCTAGTGGGCTACAGTCCATGGGGTCACAAAGAGTTGGACAGGACCTAGCAACTGAGAATGCACGCAGTTGAATATATTTAAGACCATTGAATTGTACACCTAAATATGGCTGCAAATGATGAGTTTTGCGTTATGTATATCTAACCATAACTTAGACAAAAAATAATGGAAAAAAAATCCACAATGAACAAAATACCAAAATTTAAAATAAAGACAAGATCTGTGCTAGGCCAATCTTTATGAGAGCCTGAGTGAGACAGAACCAGACTAATCCTGTCTTCACTTTAAATTTTGGTATTTTGTTCATCACAGATTTTTTTGATTACTTCGATTTTGTTAAATACTGCAGTAAAATGTGATTTATCTGGGTCACTGACACTGAGGATGCTTCCTGAAATTTTGCATGCAGTCCCAGTGCCTCACCTGTGATCTAGCCCTAAGGTATTCCGTTTAAGCTACTGAAATGATGAAATCTCCCCCAATCCTCCCACAGAGAGTCAACCTCAGCAGCAACTTCATCCCGCCCCCAGAAGAGCCCACGCCCACCTCCCTTCTGGCTACTGGATCTGGGCCAACCCCTCTTTCTCTCTTTGTATCCCCCACCACCATCACACCACAGAATAAAACCAAAGGCCTCTTGGAATATCACCAGACAAAAATACTGGAATGGGTTGCCATGCCCTCCTCCAGGGGAATCTTCTTGACCCCAGAATCAGACCCAAATCTCTTACGTTTCCTGCATTGGCAGGAGGTTCTTTACCACTAGCGCCACGTGGGAAGCCCTTTTGGAACATTTTCCAGCATTAAGAAGGGAAGAAAGGACTTCCCTATTGGTCCAGTGGTTGAGGATCCACCTTGCAAAACAGGGGATGCAGGTTTGCTCAGGTTCAATCCCTGGTTGGGGAAGTTGTATCCCACATGCCACAGAGCAACTAAACCCGAGCACCAGAACTGCTGAGCTCACAAGCTGCAACTAAGACCCAAGGCAGCCAAATAATTGAAGAAATAATTTAAAAAAAAAAAAAAAAAAAGGAAGGAAAATCTGACTTATACTATCACCTGGCCAAACACCAAGAACATTAAGTGAAATAAGTTAGACAAAAAGGACAAAGAGCGTTTGATTCCTCATGTATGAGGTACTCGGAGCAGTCAAATTCACAGAGACAGGAATTTAGGGTGGGAGCCAGGGGGAAGCGGGTTGGGGGGTGGGGGGCTGTTTAATGGGGACAGAGTTTCAGCTGGGAAAGATCAAAGTGTTCTAGAAATGGATGGTGGTGATGGTTGTACAATGATGTGAATGTACTTAACACCACTTGACTATACACTTGAAGATTATTAAAATGGTAAATAATATGCTATGTAGATTTTCCAAGGAGCAAGCATGTTTTAATTTCATGGCTGCAATCACCATCCGCAGTGATTTTAGAGCCCAAGAAAATAAAATCTGTCACTGTTTCCACTTTTTCCCCTTCTATTTGCCATGAAGTGATGGGACCGGATGCCATGATCTTAGTTTTTTGAATGTTGAGTTTTAAGCCAGCTTTTTCACTCTCCTTGGAAGGGAAGTTATGATAAACCTAGACAGCATATTAAGAGGCAGAGACATCACTTTGCCGACAAAAGTTCGTGTAGTCAAAGCTACCATTTTTCCAGTAGTCAAGTACGGATATGAGAGTTGGACCATAAAGAAGGCTAAGTGCCAAAGAATTGATGCTTTCAAACAGTGGTGCTGAAGAAGACTCTTGAGAGTCTGTTGGACTGCGAGATCAAACCAGTCAATCCTAAAGAAAACTAACTCTGAATATACATTGGAAGGACTGGTGCTGAAGCTGAAACTCCAAGACTTTGGCCACCTGAGGCAAAGAGCCAACTCCTTGGAAAAGACGCTGATGCTGGGAAAGACTGAAGGCAAAAGGGGAAGAGGGCAACAGAAGATGAGATGGTTGGATGGCATCACCAACTCAATGGACATGAATTTGAGCAAACTCCGGGAGAGAGTGAAGGGCAGGGAACCCTGCAAGCTACAGTCCATGGGGTCACAAAGTGTTGGACACAACTTAGCAACTGGACAAAAATAACAGAGTAGATTTTACAATTTTTTTTTTTGTTTAAGCTGTAAAACAAGACAAAACAAAACCACAGGAGCCATCCTGGTCTCTCCGGAGTAGCATGACACAGTGAACACTCCCGATGGAGTTCCCTTCCTCCCTTTGTCTTCTGAGTTCTGTGGACCAAAGTCGGTCTCATCTGGCCAGAGGCCATCTCTTGTAAAACAGCACAGATAAATATTTTCTACCTCGGCTTGGGTAAGAGAATATAAATAGAAAACCTCCAGTGTGATTTTTAAAGTCGTTAAGTTTGGTTCCCCAAACGATCTTTCCGACTCTCGTATTGTCTTGCGTGCGTGCGTGCTGTCGTGTCCGACTCTTTCAACCTTCTTTAATTGGGAAAATGCACCTGGGACCACTCCTCCAGCCTTGGCCATGATTCCCCCACTCGTCCCAGCTCCCCTGGGACTGCAAACCTTCCTGGCGCAAGAGACGCCCTTGGCGTCTGAGCTCACCATCCTAACAACGCACACGGGCGCTGCATCAGTGTACACACGTGATCTACATCTGAGGGATGGGACAGAAGCCCAAAGGGGCCAAGTGACTTGTCCAAGGTCACATAGCTGGCTGAACCTTGGGCTGTGGGCTCTGGTCCTACCCCCCACCACACCTCCACCCCCTAAGACATAAGACAGGCCCTCATGCATTTTAATGACAGCCGTGGACCTGCTTCAAGCCTCTCTCCCCACCAGGCTCCCCAGCCCCACAACAATTACTGCATGAAAATCGGAGTTCACAGGCCCAAGCCTGGCGCAGCCAGGACCAGCCAGTCTCTGGGGATCCCCATTCCTCTTGCAAATGAGGCTGGGGACCGTTGCGTTGGGGGCGTATGTGGTCCAGGGCAGAAACCCTGATAACGAGGCTCAATGGGCCCCCGAGATGTTTCTGCCCGAGGCTGGGGTGGCGCTTTGGCTAGAGCAAGTTCCTGGGCCGGCCTTTCCCAGAGGGCTCCCATCTCTGCTTGGTATGCGAGGGGGGTCCGAGCTGGGGTCCAGCCGCCTTCCCAGGCCATTCAAGTCAACTCCCGCAAAGGCTTTTTGTTGTTATTACCACCCTCCGCCATTGCCAGGGGCCGTTTTTGTCTTCCCAAATGGGAAAGTATCTTTTACTTTTCTCTTTTGACACTGACTATTTGGCCTAAAGCAGGGACCAATTAAACTAATTAATCCCCAGGCGCTTTGCCGGAGGAGCGGCTCGGCTCTCACACTCGGGGTCACTCCAGGGGGAGAGGGCGAACTCCAGCATCCTTTGTGTAGCTCTGACCTTTGGGCCGGGCAGGCCTTGGCATGGCCTCCCCGCTGCCCCCACCTGCCACTTCGGGGCGCACCGGGCTCTCCCCGCACCTTCCACATCTCCACCTGGGGTTCAGGCCAGGCTGCAGCCCCCAGAGGGGGCCGCCTGCCCTTCCCACGCACAGTGAACACTTTCTCTAGGAAGGGGGGATAAGGCACCCGCAAGTCAGGGAACCCACAGTCAGCTGAAAAGAGGGTGCTCGAGGTGGAGTCCAGAGACCCCCAGGATGCCCCGGGTAGCGGCGCCAATCCTGCCAGGCAGATCAGCCCCCAGTTAACGGATCCCTCGGCAAACGCGTTTTCCTCCTGGACGACAGCAGAATTTCTTTGGCTCCGACAGCGAGGAGCAGCTGTCCACACTGTTTACTCAAATACCATTCTGGCAATGTTCAGAATGTTTTTTTTTTCTCTCTCTCTCTCTTCCCTGCAGGATCTGAAACCATCCGTGGGGCGGTTGGACGCACGCATCTACACGTGGCTTTCCAGGGTGGCGTCTTCGCCGCGCGCAGAAATCCTGTTCTTCAGAGCCCTTTGCCGCGTTCCACCGGGCCTCCCCCACCCCCACTGTGCCCACCCCCGCTAATGGGCTTGTTTCCGTGAACACTGAAGACGAAAAACATGCGATTTTGAATGTGTCTCTTTCACGGCCACACATTTCTTTTCATTGTGCGTCTGGGCTGAGCCACGCTTCCAATTCCCAGGGACCCTCCTGGGCCCCGCTTGCAGAGGACTCTGCAGTCCGACAGCCTCCCCCGAGAGCCAGAGGTCGCTGGACCCTGGATTGCGTAGGGTATCTCTGAAAGCACTCTCAATAAAAAGCTCCGGGTCTTGGCCTCTGGTCTCCCTTGCTATTGGGGCTCTGGGCTGGCTGATCCAAGATTCGTTCCGCGGGCCTGCACGCCCGGGTACTTCTTGAGACGCACCGACTTCCAGAACTTTGCGCAACACCGCGACCGCAAGCACTCCGGATACGTGAGGCCGAGTTTCCGGTTGCCTTCCGACACGCCAGTCATTTCCTGGCCCGGAGGCGTCTCCACGGGCCGCCGCACCACCCTCGTGGGGGTCTCTCCTCCTCCAGATTAAGTACAGCCCCCTCGATGGGGGGTGGGGGGCGGGCTCATGGGCCTTCCGGGCTGGCCTCCCCGGGAGCCCCTCCCAGCCCCCCGCACGTCGGTCCCGGAGGCTGCTCACCATCCAGCAAAGAGCCTGCCTGCTCCTTCTGGACTTTCGTTTAAGTCTCCTTCCACCCACTAGTTCCCACCCTGCCAGCTCCAATCCCACAGGGTCCCGACACCCCGGACCCTCACGTATCTGACTCCTGCTGCTGTCACAGTAGGTCACCAACTCCGCAGCTGAAACCACACAAACCCATGTGGTTACGGTGGAGGAGGAGTCCAAATGGTCTCACCCGGCTAAAACCAAGGTGCGACCCAGGGCGCTTCTTCCTGCAAGCTGCGGGGAGGTCTCCTTGCCCTCCAGGGCCTGGGCTCCTGGCCCTTCTCTCTGCCTTCCATCTGCATCACTATGGCCTCTGCTTGCATCATCACATCCTCTTTTCTCTGATCCCACCATCTCTCTCTTTCCCTAAGGATCCTCCGGGTTGCATGCCCCACTCTGGGTGATCCACGACCGTTTTCCCACCTCAAGAGCCTGAGCTTCATCTCATCTGCAGAGTCCCTTTGGGTTTCCCCAGTTCAGCCACTCACAGCGTTCCAGCTGATGGCCTGTTTGCCTCCAGTCTCCCGTCTGAGGTCCCAAAACAACGTGGGGAGTAACAGGACAAAAGCATTGACCCCAGGTCACAGGTGAAAATGATTGGCTAACATCACCGACTCAATGGACATGAGTTTGAGCAAACTCCAGGAGACAGTGAAGGGTAGGGAGGCCTGGCGTGCTGCAGTCTATGGGGTCGCAAAGGGTTGGACAGGACTGAGCGACTGAACAACAACAGGTGAAAAACCTGAGGCGCACACAGCCAGCACCATCAGAGCAAGACGGGCAGGAAGGCGGGGCTCAGGGGCCCTGCCAGGACTGCAGTAGGCACCGCTCACCCGCAAGCCGGCTGGCTTACGGCTGCCCAGCCAGCGGGCATCCTGGCCTTGAGAGTACATGACCACAATGCACAAGCCATTCATTCTGTCCCCCAGGTTCCCAGCTCCAAGCACAGGCATTTCGCAGTGGGAACAAAGGATCTCATTTCTCTCCCAGGCCTGCTTCTTTCCAGTGTCGCTGCTTAAAGAAAGAGCACTGGATGAAGGGGCAGAGAGACCTGGGCAATACAAGAGCTCATGCAAACACATACACACACACACACATGCACACTCAGGCACACGGGCGACCCAGTGTCCTGAGCCTCAGATCCCTCTTCGCCACGGGATATGAGTAGGCTGACAGGTGCACGTTCCAGGCCCTGGACTTGAGAGGAAGGGGCAGGGCGTGTCGCCTTCTTCCTCTTCTCTGCTTAGCCCTGGCCAGAATGCAGATGGGATGGATGGAGCTACAGCAGCCATCTTAGACTGTGAACTCAAAGTTTCTTTTGAGGCCAGAAGAGCAGCAGGCTACACGTGTCTAGGTTCCTGAGGTTCTGGTGTCACCATGTCATCCTGAACCATTTGGACTGTAACATAAGGAAAAAATAAACTCCCATCATGTTTAAGCCACTTTGGGGGGCTCAGGGTTAGATATTTGTTCTAGCAGTCAAGCGAATATGTTGACTACTAACAGATTTAGCTACACGAACATAGTGGGACTGGGGCATTGCTATAACAAACCCAGACTTCCAAAGTCTGGCCTCCAGAGTCTAGGATTCAGATTTTGTGAACTGGAAAGCTATCAACCCTAGTGCTGCCGAAAGCCTGTCATAAAAATTCTCCCTGTGATGTCTGGAAGATTGAATACATCGTGATGGCCCCTGAGAATATAAAACTGGCTTGAGACTCAGTGCGGGTGTGTTGGCTGTGGTGTGCTGCCTTTAGGAAGTAATGCAAGAAAATTATGAAGATGGACTTGGAGGTTCAGTCCTGGTGGAGAAAGAGATGACTCAATCCCTTCCCAGCTCCTCCCATAAAGTGTTCTCAAATGGGCAAATGCAGCTGTCCTGGGGGCCATGGTCTGAATGTGGTTCTGTCTCCCCACTCAAGCCTGTGGTTCAGATAACATCAACGTGGCTGCTATGAAATGAACTGATAACAGAGACCTGAAAACAAAAGAGCAGTTTCATCAGAGTAAAAAGCAAGATCTGGACAAGATCTTAAGTGGGGTTACATGCAATATGGAATAACCAGATGCAAGTAGACCTACTAAGTTTTGGAGGGAATTGTGTTGCCAAATAAACCATAGCCCAGCTTCCCAAAGCTTGTTACTTTTTGACACCCCCCAAAGAGATCCCTAGACACTCCTGAAATGTAGACACAGCCAGAAATATGCTGTGGAGGTTTGGTGGCCGCCAGGAAGGGCATAGTCAGCGATGCCCACTACTAGGGTGGATTTGGAGACGGGGGTAGGAAAGGAGAGTGTTCTCATAGGACCCAGCAAGGACAGTGGGAGACGGTGGACAATGCACTCCTCCAAGAAGCAGAGGCTATGTGACTAGAGTGGTGGTGACGCCTGCCCATCTGGATTCAGTCATCATCCTGGACAGCAGCAGCTATGTTGTCTATGCTCATCTGTTCCAAAGGCAAGATTTACAGCAGTTCTGCTGTTCTTGCCCCATCATCACCTAAGAGGGGGCTATAAACCACTGTCTTTTTCATTAATAGTTTCCCTGTCCATGAGCCTTCACATCTGGTCTTGATGAGAGGTCTGCACATTCCCTTTTGACCTTGGACATGGCCTGATGCAATGCCTGGGCAGGACTTCAGGACTGATCTCAAGAGAAGGGGCTGAAATGTGTCCAGGGCCCAGAAGGGAGACCCTGCGTGGAAACCAGGGGGCCCAAAGAGGTGGACCATGGCCAAGACTGTTAGTTGTTCCCCAATGTCCATTTGCCCCCTTGTTCCTTAAAAACAGAGCCCTTTAAGTTTGAGCTAGGAACAGAGCCGCCCCCTGAGACAATGTTTCCCGCCTCCCTTGCAGCTAGGTGAGGCCATGTGAGCAACTTGCAGCAAATGGGACACAAGCAGCACATGCAGCTCCTTAAGAAAAGGGCCATGCACTCTGCTCTCTGCCCCCACTTTCTCTGGCTGCATCGTATAGTTGGTTGTAGGCATGGCCTTCCTGAGCTACAAGGTGAACGGTACTTGAAGGGGGCAGAATAGGGGTAGGAGGAGCCTGTGCCCCAGGAGCCAGGAAGTCACAGTATCGGCCCTGCATAGCTTATATTGAAAGGAAGAAAAGGAAGCGTCCTTATTTTGCTCACTGTGACCTTGGCATCTTTGTTACAGCCACCAGCCCTGTAGCTAAGACAGCAACAGTGTCTCTCCATGAAGGTCCCAAAGTGAAGGCTGGGGAGGGAGGGTGGGAACCTTGCCGTGATTTGTTTGCCTTTTTAACCAGAAACACACTGTAGTGTGATTGTCAGTTACTTCTAGGTCTACCTCTCAGAGGGAAAGGCTATATCCTCAGTCTCCATAGCAATGTAGAAAAGTACTTTGTAAACATAAAACCATTTGCACACATGTGCGAAATCAGTGTTGTTACAGCTCAATTCCCATTCCCCTAGCTATCATCCGGGGTTAAGTCAACGACTGGCTTTTTCGGGAAATACTGGATGCACTGTTCGTCATCCGGTAATCTATTCATCTGGGTCTCGGTTTTGTCATCTGTGAAGAGGGAGATTACAGTGGTTGCTGCCACCCAGGGCTGTTGTTGGGATTCTGGTGCAGGTAAAGCCCTTGGCTCCATTCCTGGCATTCAGCTGGTGCTCAGGGAAGTCACTGGCATCATAATCCATGTGCCAGGATGATGGGACTCCCAACGCAGTTGAGATGCTGCTGGTCCAGGAGCAGTGAGGCCAGTGCCTGATAGACACCAAAACAGAGCCCGGGCAGTTAGGGGGCACGTGACAAGCTCATGACACCACACGCAGGGAGAGATGACTGGAGGTGTCCACAGGTGACTGGACCCAACAAGAGGAGCCTGAAGATGCCAGAGTGGAGAAGCACGTGGCATCCATGACAGTAAGGATGCCATCTGTGAAGATGCATCTGAGATCAGCTAGAGGGCAGGCGGGCAGGAAAAGCGGAGGTGTCTGGCCCAGCCCTGGAGAGCTGTGACCTTGGGAAGAGGAGGAGGAGTCAGACAGGTGATGGGGGCAGCAATGAGACCAGGATATCCCAGGCCCCTGGTGCACTCAGACTCCCCCCCCATCCTCCCTGCAGCCTTGCAGGACCCCCATGGGTTTCAGAGGACCAGGGTCTGCATCTGAGTCATCTCTCTGTCTTCTGGGGTCTACATCCTTCAGCATCATCCCTGTTCATCTCCCCACCACCACCGCCACCCACTCCTCCACCAAGAGCCCTCTCATGCCCCTGCACCAATGGTGGGGGCTCAGGAAATGCCTGGTGGGTGAGGGACTGGCACACTGTAGGTGTGCAGTCTACATCTGACATGTGAACACAGTAGGTGCTCAACAAATGTTTGGTGGGGGAGGGCCTGACCCACAGTAGGTGCTTTTACATGGGCCAAGTCAGCCCTTGGGTCTCATGCCCTGAGTGGGTCTGAGAGCTCCTGGTCATGACCCACTGCGCTCCTGACCCACTGTGCGCCCATCCCCAGGAGATCTTGGTTGCCTGGCTTCTCCTTGGCCACTTCTGCCAGGATCTGGGTGTCCTCAGGAGACCCCGAGAAGCGAGTGCCACAGAACTGGGAGGCAGT